GTTAAAATATGTGTTTTAAAAATGTTTATAGCAAATAAAAAAAATTTCAGGAACTCTGAAAAATTGGAACAATTACGAGGTAGTCACTGCAAGGCTACCCCCTGATATCCATTTAAACTAAAAGGTTCTCAATACACAAACCTCAAATATGAGAAGCTTTAACCCCATTTCCAAAACAAGAAAATCATCAAAGATTCTAAAAAAAAAAATTAGGAAAATTTTTGAAAGATTAAAAGAAAAAAAAACTAAAATAAAACAAGCACGTATTATAGATTTTATATACCTAAGGAGGCTAGATTGTGAACATGTGTTTAATTTACAATAGAAAATCTGACACCTGTCAATCTGTTGTACTGTGTATTCTGACTAACTTACATCTTCCCTGTTCTTTACACTGTGTAATCTGACATCCTGTGTATTCAGTCACAATTTGTGTCCCAGTTAGTGATGTACCGTTTAATCGATTAAATCGATTATCTAATCGAAATGGCCCCGATTATAGATAATCGATTATAATTTTGATAATCGATTAATCAAAATATTAGTTTAAAGCAAATTATTCCTATGAATTCTTAATTCATTCTTTTATGAAAATCACTAAATCTTAAGTATTAATTTAATAAATGATTCCAATGATACAAAATACATCAAAAGTGCATTTTAGAAATCATTCCTGAATTTTTTTACCCATGTATCCTTCATTCAAAAATGAATTAATTAAATACTTGAAATCAATAGATTATTAATCGATAATAGTGCATCCAATTATTTCGATAATCAATTATGAAAAAAATTCCGATTTCCCATCACTTGACCCAGTGCATGTGAGATTAGACAGATTTCACTGTATAATTTGGGATATTTCTCACAGTTTTCTTTAATTAGTATGGACTGCATTGATAGATGTATAGTAAACTTTGTCTTTAATTTCATTTTGTTATGTGTAGGTGAGTGAAGCAAAATTCCAGTATTCAGTTCAGGCAGACAGAGACACGGTTGTGACAGGAACTTGGGACTCGGAGGACCAGTTTGAGGCATTCAGGACCGTACTGCTTATCCCCGCAGATAAGCTGAAGCAGGGGGTGGAGAAAATAAAAACTGAGCTAGCCACAACTTGATGTGAAAATTGGAAAATAAATTTTTTTATTTCTTTTCTTTTTTCATTATTTTGAGATTAAGTCAAGGTTATTAGCTAGCAATCACAGTACATTTAGATGTCACAAGACTGCTTGTATTAAATGTGCATTCACCCCCCCCCCCCCCCCCCCCCCCCCCAAATAAAAAACAAAACAAAAAACAAAAAGAAGATGTGTTTGTGAAACACTGATGCCCCCATATGGCAACTTATAGCAAAGGTTAAACTTTCTCAAATGCAAATCAAATATTTTAGTATCCAAACTAAGGTCTTGTCCAGAGGAATATACCTGTGAAATATGAAAGCCCCTAGCAGCAACCATTGAATAGATAATGAAAAGGTTAAAAATTCTCAAAAGTAAGTCACACATTAAGGTCAAGGTCAAAATTAATGGTGCATGAGACAAGGCCTAACAAGAAATACAGGTGTGAAATATGAAAGCCCTAGCACCAACCATTCAAAAGGTATAACAAAGGTTAAAGTTTTTCAAAAACAGGCAAAGGGTCAAAGTTGTTGTGATCCAAAGTAAGATCTTGTCACAAGGATTACATACGTGAAGTACGAAAGCCCTACCATCAACTGTTCAAAAGTTATGGCCAAGGTTAAAGTTTTTTTCAAAAGTAGGTCAAACTCCAAAATCAAGGTCAATGGGCTAAGATTGTTGGTATCTAAAGGAAGGTATTGTCACAAGGAATACACGTGAAGAATGAAAGCCCTAGCACCAACCATTCAAAAGTTATGGCCAAGGTTAAAGTTTTTCGAAAGTAGGTCAAACTCCTAGGTCAAGGTCAAATGGTCAAAGTTGTTGGTATCTAAAGGAAGCTCTTGTCACAAGAATTACACATGTGAAGAATGAAAGCCCTCACACCAACCATTCAAAAGTTATGGTCAAGGTTAAAGTTTTTCAAAAGTAGGTCAAACTCCTAAGTCAAAGACAAATTTGTTGGCATCCAAAGGAAGGTCTTGTCATAAGGATTACACATGTGAAGTATGAAAGCCCTAGCACCAACCATTCAAAAGTTATGGCCAAGGTTAATGTTGGGTAAAATTTTGTAAAATTGGGTCAAACTCCAAGGTAATATCAAATGGTCAAATATGATGGTACTCAAAGAAAGGTCTTGTCACAAGGAATACACATGTGAAATATGAAAGCCATATCTCCAAACAATCAAAAGTTGTGAGCAATATTAAAGATTTTGCGGACAAACAGACAGCTAGAGGGACGGACAGGGCAAAAAGCAAAACAGAGAAGTTAATACAGGCCCAGTGTTTCTTTGACTTTTTTGTCCTTAGCCTTTGTGAATATGAAGTGTGCTGAAATTCCTTTTGTTTAATGATTATTTATTATTATTCTTAAAAATTTATTTATTTATTTTTGTCCTGCCGTCATAGGGAAAAATTTATCCTTTGACTGAATAATCTCTCTCTCTTACTACCTGTATTTATATCCAAAAATTAACACTGTGTATAACTTACACATTGCTAAGATAGGGCATTCATATTTGATATTTGCATTACCTGTGACAAGATGTTTCCAAGTGTGCTGATTTTTGACCCTGTGAACTTGAAGTTTGACCTAATTCTCGAAATCTTTAACATTGCCGATAACTTTCGAATGAGAGATTAGACTTTCGTATTTGACATGTGCATTACCAGTGAAAAACCTTTCCGATTGTATTCTGATTTTTGATCTCTTGTCCTTAAGTTTTTACCAACATTCTTTTTCAATTTTTTTTTTTACATAGGTATTAACGATGATAGGGGCGTTCATATTTTATATGTTCATTACCTTGACAACACCTTTCAGATATGACTTCATGACCTTGAAGTTTGACAAACTTACCAAAACTTTAAACTTTTGCTCCAGAAAAGACAGGACTTTCATATTTTTTTTTCACATGTACATTACTTGTGAAAAAAAGAACTTTTAGATTGTATTATGAAATTTTATCTCATGACCTTGATCTTGAAGTTTGATGCAGACTTCAGAAGCTTCAGTCTTGAACACAATTTTTACTTATTCAAAAAATTATATTTCTTTTGTATGATAAACAGACAAGACAGGACACATAAAAAAGACAGTAACAATATGCCGTAAATAAATGCATCCCAAACGCTAAGACACCGAGGGGACCACAATTCTTCGAATTTGCTTATGTTAGTATTAGATAATGTATGTACATAGAGGTCATCTGTATGGTGTGAATTTATTTGTGCGTTTTCCAAAGAATTGAAATAGTGTATATTTGCAGGCTTGTCGATAAGCATAAAAATAACTGCATGTTTTGTTGAATTTGGACATGTACCAACACCTATCACTGAGGGCCAACGAATATTCACATTGCATTTATGATGCTTGGAACTTTACGTGGAAAAAAGAGTTCAGATGAATTTCAAGAAGTTTATTTATTTCATTTTTCCAATAATCAAAACAAGATTAACACAGCTACAAAAATGTCTAATGACATACTAAACTATTGTAAAGGTAATTTAATCATAATTTACATGTATTTAACAAAATATACCTCAGTAAAAGAAGCAGAGTGCATTTTACATAAATATTATCACAGTTAATTCTGGTGGAGATCTGCAAAACTAAAGTAAAATATTTGGAAAAACATGTGCATATATACACCACTTGTCGATTGTGGAGCTTGTATTTCATTGTAATTGAAGACTTGTACAGGATTCAATTCCCATGAAGAATTGAAGATTCCTGTAAATATTCAGATGCAATTTGCTTGTTGTTTGTTTTCATCCAATCTTGTAGCATAATCCACTTTTTTTTTTTGAAAAAAAAAACTTTTTTATACCAGCCCAATTCAGTCAATATGTTCAAAATACATGTTATAACTTTGAAAGGTGAAATTCATTAATTACAACTTATGCTTATTGAAAAAAAGTGTAGCATAGCAGTCCTTTAAATATAAAGTTACTCTAGGTTAAATGCTAATTATTAGGAATATGAACTTTAAAAAGTTGTATTAGAGCATAAAAATAAACTATAAAAATAAATTATATACATTAACATGTAAGACATCAAAATGTATAATAAAAAACAAATATATCCTTGTCACAAGTCATTAGAAATGGTTGTAAATTGATGGTTAGAAAATATTCCACTATATCATATAAATAAGTGTATACAAGAAAAAAAAAACAAAATAAGTTTATTCCAATTATAATTTTTATAATTGTTTTTCTTTGTGCAAAATGCATACATTTTGGATTATCAAGTGGGAATGATATTTTTTCTAGAATTAAGGTCATCACACGTGTGACTTTCTATCATTATCCACTTATAAGAAAACATAGAACAAGTAAGTCAAAATCACGAAAAATAGATATAAAGTTTTTAAATCTATATATTTACATTTCCAATGTCTTTGTCCTAGATAAAATTACAAATTGTAAAAATACTTTATTTCTACATAAATCTACTGGTTCATCGATAGGCGCGGTTAAAAAAAATCACGTGCGGGGCGGGACAAATAGAGACAGAAGCGGGGTTATTAGCACGGGAATTTGCAGAATCAGGAGCATGTAAATATAAGGAATAACTGTCTTATTTTTTGGATTCATGACGATGATCAATCGATTGGCTTGCGTGATAATTTTATGCATAAACGCCTTCGGCGTTTATGCAAATTATCACACAAGCCACTCGATTGATCACATCATGAATCCAAAAAATAAGACAGTTATTCCTTAAATATGCATTGACTTGTATGAAGATTTATCTCGTCAATTTGCATATAACAAACTACAGATGAAAATCTTGAATAGAAAAAAATAAGACATGGAAACATCACTTATAATATTATTTTTGATTCTATAAATTATCTTCTTTCTACAATAACACGTATCTCAGTCATCCTTTACAGTTTCACTTATATATAAAGAGGGGCTTTAGTTTCCAGAGATGAAGTGTATCCAAGCATTCTACTGGCCGCCTCCTCCCACGTATGACCTAATTCCAACATATCACACACCCAGTCATATTTCTGTCTCTTGGCTATGTATGTCTCCACCGAAACTCTTAGCCTTTCCTCTAAAAATCCACCATCAATGCTCATTTTCTTTAATTTATTTTCTGCTTTCATGAATGCAGACAAAAGACTGAGCTGATTAGAAAAGTCTAAAGGAAATAACTCTGGAACAATTATTTTAAGGATAAGGAGCAGGGCCAGGGCTGAAGATATCAATTCTAGGACATCATCTCCAACCTTTTTACCTGATACAGAAAGAGAAAATATTCGTAGTTAGCTTTATGGAAAATGAATACAAGTACACATATATGAGGGGTGATCAAAAAGTTCGTGAACTATCTCTATATTTACAAATTAAACCACAATTCAGATCAGTAAGAAATTTGGCACACATATAGTCATATACATGTTCTATAAATAGCAGATGTTATATAATGTTTTGTTTCGTGTTTGTGACGTCATAATGTGAAAATGACGTCAATATCTAGGTGACTTGTGACAAAAAATGGTTCACTCAGTTGTACTCGAGCAACGAACGGCTGTAAAGTTTAACATATATCTCGGAAATTCCTTTGCAGTAGAATATGATAATTTGTACACGGTTTAAGAAGACAAAAGACTTACCAGAAGTTCAATTATTAATTGGATTGATTGTTTTAGTGAAGGCAGGTAGATGGTTAAAAATGATGTCCATTCTGTTGCCCAGCGAAAGCAAGCCGGTAAAAAGATGCGTCCTTAGTTGAGCAATTTGTTTGGAAAGATCGCCAAGTTACAATTAGAAAAATAGTTGAATATCTGAACAATAATATGATTATCAAATCCCTAAAATATCGTTTGTTTTAAACTTTAAAAATATCAGATATGATAAAAAGAAGGCACCCATACTTTTTCCATATTGGATAAACGACGCTCCCGAGACAGAGGACTCGGGATTTGATGGTCACCATTCTAATTCTGGGAAGGGATATCCTTATCCAGCCATCCTATTGCCGAGATTTGGCCATTTCTGACAGATGGTCTGTTTTGTTTTAAAAAATAATTTGCATGGTAAGAAATATAAGACAAGGAAAAATCTCTTATCTTTTGTGAACAAACCGCTACGAAGCATGTCACGTGACCGCCTGGATCACGTGATTCGCGAATGGGCAGAACAATGGCAGATGTACATTATAATTGGAGAGGACTACCTTAAAAAATAATGAACATTGAAATCTCATTTTATTTCTTCCAAGGAAGTTATTCAATTAGTTCGCGAACTTTTTGATCACCCCTCGTATTTTCAAATTAATTAAAAAGAGAAGAGTATTTTATACAAAGAAATTTGAAACAAAATACACCTGTATCATATAAAAGAAAGAATTTATGTTGAGAGAAATTTTTCTTAGCATGTCAGAAAAAAATTTAGATGAATCCCTATATATATTTGTGGTGGCCTCCTCATCTTCATATTCCTATGTTCTTTTATATGTGTTTTAACCAAGCATAATGTCCAGTTCTTTGTGTACATACCAAGTGAATTTAATCCTGCTCCTTGGAGGATGTCCATACATTTTGTGATGTCAATTCCAAAAGTCTCCTCCAAATTCGCTCCAAGTTTCCATAAATTGTTCTGTTGGTGACAGAAGTATTTCAAACTAAGCACATTTATCATATGCAAAACACTCAGTCAAATATTCATAATGTATGTACATGTTCATGTAGTCTATATTTATGTAAATAAGTTCACAGGAAGATTCAAAGTCATAAAATTTACAACAGTTTGAACTATTTTCATCAAATATGCATGTACCTTACATACATATGTCAAGAAGTTATATACAGTCATGTACAACCTGATATATTGAAGAAATTCTTGACAGTATTTTATATTGAGAGTCAAGCTAATGGTCAAAGGGTACTTCAGAATACTTCTCACATGGCTATATTAGTTTTAAAAATATTCCTGTTTTAATATTGATTCAGTCCCTTCTTAGATTAGAAATTGCTTCTAAACCCCCAAAAATCCATTGCAAAGTGGCGGAGCTGAAATGTACCATTATGAACAAAAAGAATGTTGCATTAAGTAATCATGTTGTACCTACACATATTATGAGTAAAAGATTACCTCTTGAATATTAAACATCGCTTGTAGTGAGGATATATTCAGTCTTGGGGTCTCCTTAAGAACATTGCTGACAGAAGATCCAATACCATAAGAGTTTACATCAGAAGCTACCAATGAATACAGAAGATTTTGTTATGAGGTATCGGAATCAAACATGAAATTACATGTAAATAATGTTGTTATTTGACCCTTGGTTAATCAAATTAAAAAAAATTCCCATAAATACTGGCATATAATATTTCTACCCCATATAATAACCCTTTTAAGCATCAAGAGGCAATGGCGTAACCAAACTTAAAGTCATACTACATGGTGCTTCTGTACATAATAAATATTACTAACATTACGCCTTTTGTGCTGGAGAGTATAATATGGGTTTTTTTTTTATCTAATGTAAAATTTGAACCCCTGTTTTTGACCCATTCTAACTACAGGATCCATTATATGAAGAAAAAAAATAAACACAACTTAGGAATGTTTATATCAATATCACTTAGTTGGAACTGCTATTCTTAAAGAAAATATAACAATATGTGTTTGTGAAACACTGATGCCTCCATATGGCAGCTTATGGCGAAGGTTAAAGTTTCTCATATGCAAGTCAAAATCCAAGCCAAAAGATAAAAAATGTTGGTACCCAAAGAAAGGTCTTGTCTCGAGGAATATACTTGTGAAATTTGAAAGACCTAGCTGCAACTGTTCAAAAGTTACGGCGAAGGTTAAAGTTTTTTAAAAGTAAGGAAAACGTCAAAGTCAGGGTCAAAGTGGTTGGTGAAGTATGAAAGCCCTAGCACCAACCATTCAAAAGTTGTGGCCAAGGTTAAAGTTTTTCAAAAGTGGGTCAAACTCCTATGTCAAGGTCAAAAGGTCAAAGTGGTTGGTATCCAAAGGAAGGTGATGTCACAAGGATAACATATGTGAAGTATGAAAGCCCTAGCTTCAACCATTCAAAAGTTATGGCCAAGGTTAAAGTTTTTCAAAAGTAGGTCAAACTCCTAGGTTATGGCCAAGGTTTAAGTTTTTCAAAAGTAGGTCAAACTCCTAGGTCAAGGTCAAAAGGTCAAAGTGGTTGGTATCCAAAAAGGTCTTGTCACAAGGATTACATATGTAAAGTATGAAAGCCCTAGCTCCAACCATTCAAAAGTTATGGCCAAGGTTAAAGTTTTTCAAAAGTAGGTCAAACTCCTAGGTCAAGGTCAAAGGGTCAAAGAGGTTGATATCCAGAGGAAGGTCTTGTTACAAGGAATACACATGTGAAGTTTGAAACCCCAAGCACCAACTGTTCAAAAGTTATGGACAAGGTTAAATTTTTTCAAAAGTAGGTCAAACTCCAAGGTCAAGGTCAAAAGGTCAAAGTTGTTGGTATCCAAAGGGAGGCCTAGTCACAAAGAATACACTTGTGAAGTTTGAAACCCCAAGCACCAACTGTTCAGAAATTATGGCCAAGGTTAAAGTCTCATAAAATTTTGCAAAAGTGGGTCGAACTCCAAGGCCAAGGTCAAAAGGTCAAATACGATGGTACCCAAAGAAAGGTCTTGTCACAAGGAATGCACATGTGAGATATGAAAGTCACAGCTCCAACCAATCAAAAGTTATGGGCAAGGTTAAAGTTGACAACAGACAGACAGACAGACAAACAGGCAGACAGGACAAAAACAATATATATCTTTCGATCCCGGGGCAAAATAAAAACCATTTCTTATGTACATTTATTCCCATACACAATGAATCTCTAGTAGAGCCTTACCTAGCCCAGAGCTCATGACATATCTGAATCTGCACTATATTTGGAGTGTTGTATATTAACTAGTAAATGGCAAAATCCTAATTCTGCTGCTCATTTACAAGAATTTTTTAAAGCCTTTAGTTGTTAAGTTTGGTACCTATGGTAACACCATCATTACAATAAACTCCTAGTGACATAATTAACCCTGAATGTAGCTCTTAAAATGCTATTTCTATTTTGTATGCTTTTTATATGGCTTAAATATAATGTTAGTATTTTTCCAGTTTTTTTTAAATTTCGTACATGTTTTTTGTGAAGATGTTAAGTGTGAAATACTTATAGAAGACACGGCAAAAAGACAGAATGTCACAAGGCAATCTTCAGTCATAAAAGCTCACTGAGTTCTTTACTGAGCGAAAAACTGTATGATCAAGACAATGTTATCATCCTGAATCATGAAAAAAGAATCTTTATATTTGTATTTAACTTTCATCATAAATAGTGCACAAAAGTACCTTTTTCTTCATATCCCACTGGCAACGCAGGTAGTTTTGAAGTCCTTGGCATAAGCTAGACAAACAAAAATTGTACATTAACATCTTATACAACTTGATGATATATGAATTTCTTTAGCAAAATTCTTTTTGGTTAAATATTTTAATTCTGGAAATATTTATTTTTCTAGATATTTTATTTAAAGTTACATAATGAGTCAAAATCGTGTGTTTCTTTCAAGATAATTGTATCATAAAACAAAAGATTTAATATATGAAATATGACTAAAGCGAAGGTTTGACAACTCAACTGCACTGTAAAGCAAGAAAAGAACTGCAAAATATAAGTGCCGGAAAAACAAACTTGAAGGTTGTATCTACCGCTTTGTTGTTATCGTCAATGTCAACAATGTCAAGGTCGAGCGACTTTTATTTTTAGCGTGAAACTTGTAAACAACATTGAATTGGAGCAAACAGAAGTGAGAAATAGGTTCTGATCATCTTTATTGAAGATTGTATCAAAATCATCGGTCATCCGATATTTATATCATATATTTCATCTATGGAATTGACACCATAGTAAATTCTTCAACTTTTCTGCGCATGTGTACAATAAAGAGGAAGAAGTGAAGCAATATTTTTGTTTAGGGGCAAACAAAAATTAATTTTACTTTTATTTTTCTCCAAAAAAGTAGATTTTTTTAGGTTCAGAAACCTGTAATTTTCTGAAACCTAATATCTTCAAGAATTGGTCATCCAAAAATTCTACTTTTGTCAGTTTTTTCCTTTTCCATCACACTGTTACTTTAATATTTCTCTTAATAATACATTGAGATAGAAATTTTTAAAGAATATTTATTTTCAGATCCTCAAATTGTTAATGGTAGATATGTTGCTATACACAAAAGATGACAAGGGTTCTTGACAATCACAAAGGAATAAGAGTATTTTCAAGAATATTCTAGGACAAAGCATGTCCGAACTTGTCCACCAAATCTATTTGTCTGCTTGATCTGTAGATATGACCAATTAAATGAAAAATAGTGCTCTTAAAGTATATTGCATTTTCAATACAAAATTTGCCCTTCCTCAGTTCTAAGACGATGAAGAGTAAGGTAAGAATATTGGAGACCATGCAAAAACAAGTTTGTTTCCCTTGCACAAATGAATTAAATGTGTATTAAATATTAATAAAATTTTCCATCTATTTTAGAAAAAAAACCCTTAAGAAGCTTCTGGCCAAAGAACTGCAATAGGTAGCCATAACTCAATGGAGACCCTTAAAATGAAGACTTACCTCTGTAGCAGATTTCATTCTCTCTTTTTCAGCTTCCTTTACCATGTGCTCAATTTGTTCTTGACTCAGTCTGCCTTTGTCATTTCCTATCTTAACTGTATGTACATATAAAATCATCAGATATAAATTAAATCCTAAATTTTAATTGAAACAATCTACAGACAAACCTTAATAATATTTATGGAGTTATATAAATCTACCAATCAGGTTTGAGTAGAGAAAACTGCAATTGTTCATTAGAAATATTATTTTTGTAATATTTCTGATTTGATGTCATTAGAATGACCATTATTATTAAATATGACATTTTAATAAAAGGACTATTATATGATAATCCATTACTTATATCATGGAATTTAATAATTATGGTTTAATCAGCTCACTTGTTAAAAAATCACTTTCCCCCTGAAAAATTATTTTCTATGTAAATTGTAATCTGAAAGAAGCAAAACTTAAGAGAAGTTGGAACAGAGTATGTTTTTTATTGCTTACAGGACTCAGAGCGCAGTGTAGGTTATTATTGCTTACAGGACTCAAAGCGCAGTGTAGGTGTATTATTGCTTACAGGACTCAGAGTGCAGTGTATGTGTATTATTGCTTACAGGACTCAGAGTGCAGTGTAGGTGTATTATTGCTTACAGGACTCAGAGCGCAGAGATCTGATGTCTGTTACTTTAACTGTTGTTATTCCGTTGGCGTCAATATCAATGGTCACTTTTATCCATGGGCTTCCAGGATGGGAAGGCAAAATATTTTTCTAGAAAATTAAAAATGTTTATTATTTAGATACATATCTTATATACTTCTTCTAATTTTCTGAAACAAAATTAGAAAAAATATATTGGAAAACAAATCTGTCTTAAAAATTAAAAAAAATATTTTATAGACATACTTTGCTGACATTCTAGATATGCATATGGAATTACAAAGCCACCAGTTATATCACATTTTGCATGCAACGAATATCAAGCAATTACTTCAATTTAAAAACCAGTTCAACTTTTACATATTAGCATGTTAATCTTTACTTACAATCTGGAGCTGTCCCAGAAAATGGTTCCGCTTGGCCTCCTTCATGCATCCTTCATAAACTCTGACATCTACTCTGCTCTGTTTGTTATCAATACACGTGAAATTCTAAAAAGCATATTTTAAAAATCTATAATAGATATAATTCATATAAGAAAATAGTATTTTTTTGTGAAAAGCAAACTTGAAACATTTTGTAATATAAGGTGAGTTTTGAAGCATTTTCTATATAGACATTTTTGAATTACGTTTTAAAAATAATTTATTTAAATATCACTGACACTTTATTGAAATCTAAAATTTATGTTTTCGTTATAACCTGTCTCAATCACAGTATATAACGATATCTATAAAATTGCTGCACTTTCCCTCGATAAAATCTCTCAAATTTATTAAGTTCATGTAAAGCTGTTTTGCTTCAAATGCCATTATACACTGAAGTACATGTAGAAGATAGGCTTATTTTTAAACTGCATTCTTCAGTCTGTTCCAAAATATTTCAAATTATATTTTGTTGTGTCAACAAAATTTATACTAGTGGATAAGTACTATTGGATGATAAGGAATTGATACTATTTAAAATGGATCAAGCTCAAGATACAAAAAGTGAATATTTGTTTATCTCTCGCTACTGCCTTCACTAACTGTTTGCAATGTATTAAAAATAATTTTGCATTTGTTTTGAAAACATATTGAACAAAAAAAAATCATTCACATATAGGAACATCGTAGTATGAAATTTAATTTGAATTTGCTTCAAATAAACTACATTTATGAAAAAATAGATCTAAAGATTCAATTAAGTTTCCGAAATTGGTGTATTTTCTAGAGTGATCGCTATCATTACTGATAAATTTAAGTTAAACTTCTTCTTATACGAAACATTGAGTAATGTATACATTTTTTGTTTAAAATTAAAATTCTTCAAATATATTTCAATTATCAAGAATTGAACCTGTTCTTTCCGACAAGGAATCGTGGTGTTTCTTGCGATAACTACACAGAAATTCCCCTCGGCGTCCTCTACCCCTATAGAAAGTGGTGCGACGTCCAACAGCAATAGTGAATGAGACTCCTAAAAATAATATATATTTTAAAAGTAAAATGATTATACAAAGTTGTATACTTGATAACGTTAAAGTATTATTATCAATTTTCATTCACAAGTGATGATTTAACTTAATTTGTAGTTAAACTTAAAACAGTAAAAACTAGAACTGTTCAATATGGACAAATAACCCCCGCTGGATTTTTCAGAAAAGGTGCCAAGTCACTAAACATATTTTATGGCTCTAAGAGGTGTTCACAATTTGTTTAAACAATTAAGAGTGAAAATTTCATTGATCTTTATATTTTTTTTAATGAATGATGAAATAAGGTGCAGCCAAATAACACATCTATAATAATAATTATTGTTACATTGTTTATTAATTATATTAATTAATTAATAATATTTATAATTATTGTTGTTCAATTATACTGTTTTTTTATTAGATTGAAAAAATAAATTGCATTTGTCATTTTTGTTAGAAATTACACTGTACACTCTGCAATTTGTTTGTTGAAAATGAAATAAAATAAAAATAAAAAACTTTATCCCAAATTCATCTTAAAAATAAAAGACTGGTCATCCAGTAACTATGTATTTTAATTTGACAGCTAGACTAATATAAATTAATATTAAGAGAGTTAGAGAACAGAGATCTTTAATTCTTCTGCCAAATTCCCAGGAGATATAGATAACACCTCTAACAGCTTCCCACTCTGCCCATTAATTAATCTTAAACTGGATGCATGTCCACTCATTACTCCCAGGTAACAAATGGATTTACACTATCTGCTGTGTTATGTGCTGTGAATCTGTCACACAATAGAAAATGCATGTATATGTCATTCTGTTGAAAACAAAGATTTTCTAAATTTCTTACAAAGTTTTATATAATGAAAAAAAAGAACTGTTTAATTTTGATGCAACTTTTTTTTAATAAGGGTACTTTATGACTCTTAGATTTGTATGGATTATCTACCAAATAACTTTTTTGAATACTTGGTGATTTTTTGAGTTTTAAAGAGTAGTTTTAAGCTGCAATTCACGTTTTTATACAGATGTACCAACTGGCAGTTCTAGATTCTATGCCTCAAACCTACAGGAACTCAAAATGACTAAGTCAATAAAAATGAGAAAAAACACCTGTAAAATGCAGAAATATTATCCAATCAAGACGAAAATACCAGGTGCACACCTTCATATGGTGCATAATGACTGTACAAATTTTCAGACAAATCCATGTAATAGTCTCCGAGAAATGATCCGGACAAAATCACGTCTACAGACAGACGGACAGACAGACATGCTGATTCCAATACCCCCCCCCCCCCCAACTTCGTTTGCGGGGGTATAATAACAATTATTTTGAACCATTTAAAATTTTCGAAATAGTACTGTACTAGAAGACACAATAACACAAGTCAGTTAAAATTTCACTCTTTACATTATTTTATAAGTGACGCTTCCAGTCATTAATCCATGCAGAACCAACAACATTATCTTTTGTAACTAATGCAAATTTAATTTGTAAACAAGATATGAAATAACCATTAGGACACTCGTATCTTGAATAATATGGCGTGACTGTTATTAAGTGAAATAATGTCAATGTTCTTTCTTTCTTTCTCCCTCTACTCTGAAATGTTTCTACTACCCCACACGAATGAAAACAATGTAGTATAGAAAAGATGAAGATTTTTCTTTTTGATTTACAATTTTTTCTATGTACTATATTTTAGTTGTTCCATATCTGAAAAGACTTTGAAGTAATCCTTACTTGCTAATGCAGACTGCACGATGCCATCAAAATATGACTTCATATCGATATTAATTTATTAAACATAAGAATATTGATATCACTATTTTTTTAATGTATCAAGTGGTTCCTCAACTACATTTGCACTGGTTGAAACAAAATGCAAAAATAAAGCAAGTATGGTGCCATACGTTGAAAAATAATTATTGAACATTATACCTTTCCTTATCTTATTTATGTTTTGCATACTTCATTAAGAGATTGTGACAGATTCTATAATTTGTGTAACCACCGCATTTTCGAGATTATACTTCCAACATGGATATCTACAAGGCTTGTATTAGATAGTCATTTTTGAGTTTTTTTTTTGTCATGTTTGATTCAAGACATAGTGAGATAGTCCACGACAGAACGTCAATGTGGGCCACAAACCGCACCTGGATGCGTGTCACTTAAGCAGTTCTTTAGAAAATTAAGAGATTTTTTTTTATTTCCATGAGAGGTAATGTTCTTATATTTTAAGCACACCCTAATTATGAGGAGTTTCTGATTCCACACAACATGGGGATTCTTCAATATAACTAACATGGTCTTGCAGTTTCGGAGAATTTTATTTTCGGTATACTTGCATTAAGTAAAATATACCCAGGTGAGAGAATTTGATATTTTTTAAATAGTCCAATGTAAAAATTTCCCTATAGTGCCTACACCATATCCCCAGAAGCATGATTTGATCAATGAAATACAATCAACGTTAAAAGAAGGCTTTCACATAAGTTACAACTTTTCAGAGTTTAAAAGCTTTTTCCAATTCATTTCAATGTAAAATATGAGCCACTTCTGCCCCCCCCCCCCCCCTCCACTGGGCCAAACTTTAACAAATCAGAATCTAAATAATTTTTCCCTATATATTTCGATATAAAACTCTGATTCATGGTACCATAGGACCATGATCCGAACAACGTAGAATCTAAATAACCCCTGGTGTCAAATGTTTTATCTTTTCTTGTGAAGTGGTTCGTGAAAAGAATTTTAAAGGTTTTCCTACAAATTTAATTGAAAATTTTGATCCATTTTTGTGGCCCCACTCTACCCTCAAGAGCTATGTTTAAACAAATCTTTACCTCAGGATGCCTTTAGATTAAGTTGATCTTTTGGCCAAGCGGTTCTAGAGAAAATTTTAATGACCCTACCCTATTTTTGTCTTCTTGATTATCTCCTCTTTTAAGGGGGATAGGTCCTTTATTTGAAAACTTTGAATCTCCTTTACGAAAAATACTTTGTGCAAACTTTGCTAATCTGTCAAGTGGTTCTTTAGAACATAAATGGGTGTAAAGATGGATATACACACAAACAGATGGAATCTGAACAATGGATGATCAGAAAAGCTCACTAGAGCTCTCAGGTCAGTTGAACTAAAATATTTCCACAAAGTTTCGAACCAGTCACACATCATAAGTAGCGTTTGAACTTCATAACAGATATGCATGGGGGTGCAAGGGATGCTTCTCTACGACACCTTATCCTACCTCTGATATTTAATAAAATTCCCATGTTTGCTCTGCTACAAGTTTGTATTGTTTTAATGGATTTTTTTTTAGCTTGTTAACTGTTCGTTACCTTCATATTTCATGAATGAAAAGTGTGATGTCATATACTCTTAATCTTTAAAACATTTAATACTGTAAAAGCAGAAATATTCGTGTGGGATTTAATTTCATTTATTTTGTTGTAAACAATTTTCAACGAAATTAAACCCCACACGAAATTTTTATATGACTACGAGGGTTGTTCGGAAAGTTCGTGGACTACCGTCATAACTTTTTTACTTAACGTCATATCATATCCAAATTTGTAAGAAATATTTCAATAGTAAATTCAAATGATGTGTATTAAAATTTTTAAAATATCATGGTTTATTTCAAACTTATTAAGACTTAAAAAATGTGAAAATCGGATCACGGAGCAGGTCAAAATTTCGTAATTTACAATCAAGACACTAAATAATGTCTGAAGTCATATCTTCTGTAAAATGACACAAAAAACGGAAAAATTCTACATGTTCAAATTAAGAATTTTTTCATCGTTTCTGATTCCAAATTATGACTTAATATTTTACTTCGTTGAAAAGAAATTGGTTTCAGAAGATAGGCAGTTCTCATTGAAAAAGGCAAAAAAGATGACGTCGTAGAACGTCACGGAGCAGTAGTTAACCATTCAATTTTGTGTTGTACTCTGGAAAACTTCACAATAAAACTCTGAAAATGCCGGAGGAAGTAGGATATACGTCAAAAGCTAGCCATGCATGTGTGTGTACATGGTACAAGCGGTATTTGAATAGTAGAATACTCTGCTTAGATGAAGAATATCTGTGAGAAAATGGATTATCTGTAAAAATTTTATCAAAAACATTGAAAAGTTATTTACGTCATGCTAAGAGTTTAGCGCTTCACAGATGCTGATCTTGTGAAAGCACACTCATGCAGTGAAAAAAATATAACATTGACAAACAAAATGATGCTACTGGAACAATTGTTAGCAAAATAGATTTAAGGTGGTATGGGATACCAAAGGAAACTTCTCCTACATATTTATGTACCCAAATTAGAAGGATTTGAAATACCCCCACCTTTCAGTATATTAAAGTGTAATTTTAATAATTTTTTTATTATTTTAATGAGAAATACAAAAACGATTTTTTTCTTGCATAACTCTTTTTTCATAAGCTTAATATTATAGGCAGGCGTTTGCTAATATAAAGTGTTTATAAAAACAAAAATGACAAGAAATATGTCTTAGTATTTTTTTAATTTTCACCAAAAAATAAGCGTAAAAAACTGGGAAAACTTTATTTCTTGAAAACAGACGGATAACATTTCATGAAAGTCTACAATTAGAATGTATCTTAATATGTTAGCAAAGTGAAATAAACAAATTGAAAATATATATATAAATGGAAAATATAAAATGCATTTAAAATTTTTTGAATTAAAAGATCCGAGCGGAAGAGTTATCCTTCTTTATTTTCCAAGGGTTGAAAAAACCTGGGTGCTATTTTAGAAATGATGAGCATTTTTTCCCAACCATAAAAAATCGCACTTTGTAGTTTTCAACTTTGAGCGGTTTTGAAAACAATGCACGGACAATCGCTTTCCAGGACCTGTCTTGTTCAGAGCAATTGCATTCATCTGAACGTTTTGGGACTATATACAACAGCTAGCTGATTTGTGACCAAACAGTTACTTCTTGAATTAAATAACAAAAAAGTCCAGCCCTGGTTAACGTGATAATTGATTGGTGATAATTCAGCACAATGTGAAGTAATTGCACTTATCCATGCCTCACCGCACACAACGTGCTGTACAGTTACTCAAACAATTGAAATACAGCTTTTGCTTAAAAGTGTTCAAAAGCAGCAATGTTGAAACTACCTTTTACAGGGGTTTGCTCTTTTAAATGTCCGTTGTACAATTATAAGTAAATTTATATACTTGCGATTTTTTTGTCTGTTTTTACTTAAAATGCCGACTTGTGAGAACTTGCATTGAAATAGGCTTCAGAGTGTTCTTTTCAACGGTGTATCTACAAATTTTGACCCGATAATAAGCACTCATGCAAATCAAAACAATACTTCAAACGGAAATACGTCATAACGTGGAGGTATCCCATACTACCTTAAAGTGATAGAGAAACGTTTTTAATGAGTGCACTCGTATTGGGCAATACTGTGCGAAATGTATGGGGATAGTATTTTTGAGAACCTCATGTCGGTATGTTTTTGACGTACAGTGTTGTTGAGTTTGCTCGGTGGTTACAAAACGTGTTGATTTTAAAATTAAACAGCATGAATTCTATTTAATCACATGGAATGAAACTTCACACTTAAACAAAACAAATATTTTTACATATGCTCATTTTAAATTACTTGAAGATAGTATAACGAAGATTGGCATAGTCCACGAACTTTCCGAACAACCCTCGTATATGTATAGAATAGGGTTACTATAGGGTTACTCTCGAAACAATGAAATTTAATGCCCATGAAACCTTCTTGGAAGACTAAAGAACGAAATTTTATCCCCACAAATATCTGTGTTTCTACAGTATACATTTAAATGTAATATTCACATTCCATCTATTAATTATCTTAAGCAAATGTTAGTTAATTGATGACTACTCTCAACAAAAGGTGACTTAAATAACCTCTTCGCTTGTGTACTAAATCCAAAGGATTAAAAAAAAAAAAAAACCTTATGTGAACTGAAAGGGACGGTGAAGCACTTCACACATCATGACATGTTTGTAAAAAAAATGACAACTTTAACACCACAATGATCTATAGATAACAATCCATTTCAAGATTAATTCTGGCTAAGATATCTCACCGTTTCCTTTCTCTCGGGAGACCTTTCTATAAAACTCAGACGTTGTATTTCTTGTGGAGATTCTATCAGTAGTGGCTCAGCTTCCTTTGCTGGAGAAATATCCTCTTTTGTCAGCTTTTTTTGTTTACGATTCAAGGATTTTGTTTTTATTTTTTTCATGGTTTTCTCTAATTTTTCCTCTCCCATTTCTTGTTGTTTTCTCTCAGGAGATCGTTTTAAAAAACTCTGACGCAAATTTTCTTGCGGAGAATCTAGCAATATTTTATCTTCCATTTCCTGTTGTTTGCTTTCTCTCTCTTGGTTCAATTTCCTCCCCATAGCTATTAGAATGTTGAAATTATAATAATTAAAATAAAGTATATTTGATAAATGGTTTTATTTTCTTGTTAACAAAGAATGTAAGGACTTCAAAGAGCTTTTAATTTAAAAAAAAAAATAGAAAAATAAGCAAGAATTTCAATAGCTCAAAGAATCTAACAACAAAAACTTAGACATATTACACGTGTTTGACTAGTTTGAATATTTCTAGAATAGATATTTAACTCATTATAAATGAATAATTGGACATGGTATCATAAAATTCAGAAAAATTTAAAATTTCAATTTTTGATAGGAGTTTTCTTTCAAAATTGAGTATGTTACACTGGTGCCTGATCGATATAAAGTGAAAGAATATAAATTGTTTTAAAACTTACTTCTCCATGACACCTGCTTGGCATTATCGGAAGATTCAAGTGTTCTTGTTGTTGGAGCTGGAGGTGAATGCTGAGTTAAAATCGCTGCTTTTTCAAGAGATTGAGAAGGTTGACGTCTGCTTTCCTTTTCTGAGAACATATTTAAATTGTGAACAATTGAAAGAGGTTTGGGAGGTGCTCCAATTATATGCCAAGGTCGAAGAGGAGGATGTGGAGCCCTTCCAGGTGATGCTGCAATGAACATCTGGGTAGGAGGTGGAAGGGGTGGTGTTGGAGTCCCTCCAGGTGCTGCTGCCATAGGGAGTGGAGGGGGTGGTGTTGGAGGCAGACCTGCTCTAAATTTTGAAGGCCGCAATATCGGAGTACGTGATGAAGGAGGTGGTTCAGGAACAACAGATCCATGTGTTTTCTTTGATAAAGGTGGTTGAAGTCCTCCAACAGCACCTGCTCTCATAGTTTGCTGGAACATTTGAGAAATTGGTGGTGGTCCACCTCCAAAACCTGAGGTTACTCCAAACATTTGTTGTTGGGGCACTTGGAGTTTAGTGACTGGACCTCCAAACACATTGTTAGTAGACATTTGTTGTGTAGGTGCCCCAAACGTTTGTCCAAAACTAAACCCAGAAGTTTCACTTTTTTCGGAAACTGATGAGAATTGATATGCAATGTTTACACTAGATAAAGCGGGTGCCCCGAAGGCAGGAGGAGGGCCAAAACCTTGCACACTTCCAAACGGACTGCTGGCTGATGGTGCTGATTGTGAAGATAGGGTCCCAAATGCTGGTGGAAATGACCCAAAGCCTGTCCCACTCTGTGGTTGTGATTGGGCTCCAAAAAGTGTGTCTTCGTTAGTTATCAGTGGTGGTGGTGGTGGTGGTGGTGGTGCAGGAGTACTTTGATCTTTCCTATGTCGTTTTTTCATCACACTCTACAAAAAAAAAAAACCTTTGTTGGCTAATAATTTTTAAAACATAACAGAAATGTTAACCCTTTAACTAGTTTTCAGAAATATATTTTTTGTCATAAATTTAATTTTTTATCTAAATTATCATAATGGCATTATTCTGGCTTAATTTATATTGGTATATATATGTTTCTTGATATGGTTTTTGATACGTTTGCTATTCCGGATAAACTAAATTCTGTCCTTTTTTATTTTTATTGATGTGGAGGTAAAAAAAAATATGTTCCATATCAAATCAGCAATCTTACAACAAGATTATGCTACCTTTCAGCTTATTTGCCAACGCTTATCTTTGCCTTTCACAACGGTGTGTCTTTTGTATATTTTTGTTATAATAATAATCATTCTATAATGTCCATGTCGTTCCCAACTGTGTATTCATATCATTAAATCACCGTCACGGTAGTTCAGTCGGTAGAACGCTCGCTCTGTGATCGGAAGATCGTGAGTTCGAATCTCGATCACGACTTACCTAAGTTGATAACAAAAGTCGATAAAAAAATAGGAAGTTACTGTTCCTTCGCCATGCGCTCGGCACTCTGAAGTGTCACGGCAGGCATTGGCACGATCAAGTTCCCTCACTGCTCAATGGTCATGAGTGCCAAGTAGAGGTCTAAATTTGAAGTCTTTCACCGGTATATGGTGACGTCTCTATATGAGTGATAAATTCTTGAATGGGACGTAAGACAACTTACAATCAATTAATCATATCATTAAGTTTTAATAATTAAAATGAAGTCCATATTTAATGTAAAAACTAGAATTTATGGCACGATTAAATGACTCTAGGTCATAATCATAGAAAAGAAAAATGTAAGAAAATTATGAAAGAATTTAATTACACTCACCAATTTGTATAAGTGTTATGAGTTTGATGAATATATTATCAACTGTTTTTTTCTACACTGTGATAAAAGCAATTTTTTATTAGAGAAGTAAAATGTATATCTAAAACCAAGACATGAAAACTATGACACAGTTGAAAAGTACTTCAATTTGATGTGTTTTGTGTGTTAAATTTGAAATAAATATTTTAAACAGGTTTTTTTTGAAGATGCACATGTAAATAGTAAAGAACAGAAAAATTCCCACCAAAATGTTAAAAATATTAAAAATATCTTATTTCTACACTGAGCTAAACACAAACAAGGATGTGGAATTAGAAACTTATGCTAAAGTTGAATATGACGATGAAATCTAAATAAATTGTTATCTTGAAAAGAACCCTTGAAAGATCAATTTAGAAACAATATTAGGCACAAAATAGTTGTTAATTTAAGTATACCATGTTTTGAACTGGGGAACACAGATAATGCAAGAATATAGTATACACAGTTTGTGACAGTGTCTCCATAAATCAAAGGTTTTAACAATGTTTAAATCTGTAGCTCTCTGATTATTCTGTCTGGATTTCCTAAATCAGAACAGTGCAACTATGAAGTTATCAGACGGGAGGACGGAAAATGGAAATGATAAATACTATATGTCCTGGCCTTATGTTGAGTTACAAAAATGTACCGTTGCCCGCGTGGCGCAGTGGTTAGAGCGTCTGCTCAAGAATCGCAGATTAAGTACCTGATCCTTACTTCGCGGGTTCAAATCCCACTGTGGGAGTGGAGACCGGTCCTTCGGATAAGACCGTATAAACCGAGGTCCCATGCCGCAGTAGATGTTGTCTCGAAAAAGATCCCACACTTCTCAATGGTCCCGAGTGCCGAGTATAAATTCGCAGCCCTCCACCGGCAAGTGGTGGCGTCTCCATATGATTAAAAATTCTCGAGAGGGACGGTAAACAACAAACAAAAATGTACCATTTGAAAGTATGACACAGTAGTAAGTATTTTTTATGAAATGGGACTTCGTAGACACTCAACAATGAGTTTCCTGCAGCTGATTAGACAAAAAAGTTGGATTACATGTACTTAATCCCAAACATTACTTTATACGGTATACTCTAGAGACATACTGTAGAAAGTACCTTCTCACTTTCTTTTGAACCATACACTGCAGAATAAAATGCTTTCTTTTTCCCTTCCTCTTCAAGCGCTTCCTCTTTAGAGTAATCCCAATCTCCTTCTTCCTCCTCCTGTAAAATAAACAAGAGGGTAATATATGTTTTGACCACTACTATTTCATGATTAATCTACCTTATTTACACATTCCCTTATAACGTACTGTACTCGTATTACAACCAAGTTCCTAGCCAAAAAAAAAAAAAAAAACCATAATAACTTATTACAATATCAGGTTTTCCCTATCACATATGCTTTGATTTTAATAAATGTATCTATCACATCAAGTACAAAGATTCTTGATAACCTATTGAGTATTGTGGCCTTGCCCTATCCCTAAGGTCCTTGAGTTGAAAAAAAATTAATCCATACTACCCATATAATATATATTTTGCTCTTTTTTTTTGTTTTGTTTTGTTTTTTAGAAATATGACTGGAAAAGAGTTGTCCTTTTTTCTAAGGCATTTATTAAACATGCAGGAATTAATATTAAGTTTGTCCTAACGTCCTATATCAGTTGAAATGGACAAGGAAATATTATTGACACTTGCCAAGTAATTTTTCTGTGAAGAAAACATTTCAGCTAGAACAATGGTCAAAAGACATGAATTCAAAAATCTGGGTTCATTAATTATGCAACATGAAAGATTGTAAAAGTGTATTAGATTGGATGAAAATATCTTTAATAATTCCTCTAACACAGGGTTTTATTATACAAAATAGATAATAAAGTCAAAGGTCATTGGGAATGTCAAGGTAAAAAAAAATGGACAGAGTTGATAAATTCATCCCAAATTATAAATCAGTGCATAAGCTTTCATAAACATAGGTAATCAGAGATTACAGAGCTCACCTCAACGAATGTTGTCTTTAATGCAAAGTTTCACACTAAACTAATAATCTAGTAGACAAGTGTACATCGTCGCCTGCGTGGCGCAGTGGTAAGAGCTCTGCTCTAGAGTCGCGGAGTAAGGAGTTGATCCTTACGTCGCGGGTTCGAATCCGACTCTGGGTCCCATGTCACAGTAGGTGCCGGCACGAAAAAGATCCCTCACTGCTCAATAGCCATAAGTCCGAGTATAGGTCAAAATTTGTAGCTCTCCACCGGCAAGTGGTGGCGTCTTCATATGAGTGAAAAATTCTCGAGAGGGACATTAAACAACAAACAAACAAACAAAACACGTGTACATCCCAAGATGCAACATTTATGCATTGGGACTTAACTTATCCAAAAACTAATCACTCTTCCAGAAAATGTAATTCAAATCAAGCATCTGAAGCAAGTTTAAGAGTGTTCATCCCTTGACGCATCATCAGGGCAAGTTTGCTTCAGATAGGCCTTATAGTTTCTTGGTAATGGACCTGCGCCAAAAGCTTAAACCTGGTCACTCATTCGAAAATGTAATTCAAATCCAGCATCCGAAGCAAGCCTGGTAGTGTCCATCCTTACATATATCATCCATGCAAGTTTGGTCAAGGTACAGCAAATTCTTACTTAAGAATGAACCTGCTCCAAAAACATTAACATGGTCCCTCATCTGGAAAATGTAGGTCTTATCCAGCATCCGAAGCAAGTCCAGTAGTGTGCATACTTAGATGTACCACCCATGCAAGTTTGGTCAACATAAGGCTTATAGTTACCTTAGAAATGAACCTGCTTCAAAAACTTTAACCTGGTCACTCATCTGGAAAATGTAAGTTAGATCCAGCATCCGAAGCAAGCCTAGTAATGTGAATCCGTAGATGTATCATCCATGAAAGTTTGGTCAACATAGGTCTTATAGTTTATTGGAAAACTTTATCGTGCTCCAAAAACTTTAACCTGCTCTGAAAACATTAACCTGGTCATTCCTTAGTTGCAGCATCTGAAACCTTGACTGGTACAATGAAACACACAAGAAATATTTTCCATGCAACCCTGATCAATGCAGGGCATAGAAGTACTAGATAAGAAAACTGCACCAAAAATTTAACCTGAGACGCCGACACCGACGCCAAGGGTATCACATAAGCTCCACCAACTTCCTTGAGGTGATCTAAAAATGTCTTGAAAATTTTCAGGGAAAATGAAAAAACCCTTAATTAATTTGAGAAAAGTGAGGCGAAGGTCAAAAGAAATTTTAAGGTAAAAAAAAAATATAGTGGTGTATAATTCTTATTAATAAGTATCAGCTTATAAAGTTTGAAAGAAATATGTTGAAACTTTCTTCGAAACTGGGCTGAACACTAATTTAAGAATAGTGTTTGTTTTGTTTGTTTGTTTGTTGTTTAACGTCTATATACTCAGAACCAATGAGCAGTGAGGGATCTTTATTGTGCCAACACCAACTGTGACACGGGACCTCTGTTTACATAGCCTCATCCGAAGGACCGGTCTCCACGTCCCGCAGTGGATTCGAATCCGCGACGTAAGGATCAACTCCTTACTCTGCGACTCTAGAGCAGACTCTCTAACCACTGCGCCACGTGGTCTACTCAATTTAAGAAAAGTGAGGTCAAGAACAAAAGACAATCAAGGTAAAAAATTGTTGATGAAGTTGAATAGCTCCCATCAATATGTATCAGCATATGAAGTTTGATAAAATACTTTGAATAGTTTATTTGTAACTGAGCTAAACACAAAGTGTGATAGATGGACAGACAGATATAAGAAAGATGCACAAACACTAACACTATATGCCCTGGCCAATTTCAAGGCGTGGTATATACAAATGTAAATTTAAATTGAAAAAGCTGATGTCAGCTTTTCAATAAAAAATTAAATATAAGGGCAATGTGTTTGAATTTCACTTTGATCCTCACGCATTTGGCATTTTAAACATTTCTCTTCATTAATACAATTATAATTATAGTATGTTTGTTTGTTTATTGTTTAACGTCTCTCTCGAGAGAATTCTTTACTCATTTTGAGACGCCCCCACTTGCCATTGGGGGCTGCAAATGTATACCTATATTTGGCGTTCAGGGCCATTGAGCAGTGAGGGATCTTTTGCGTGCCAGCACCTACTGCGACTCGGGACCTCGGTTTATACGGTCTCAACCAAAGGACCGGTCTCTCGTTCGAAACCGTGACATAAGGATCAGCCCTTTACTCCGCGACTCTAGAGCAGAAGCTCTAACAACTGCTCCATGCAGGCAACAATTATAGTATGAAAATATTTTTTTATTAATGTACTTAAGTGCATGTGATTCCTATTGAAAATAAAAACTTCAATCCAAGTTCTCTAAGTCAATCAGATCAAAGTATGGGATTTTCTCAATTATTTACGATTTTAAACTTCAATTGTAGCCAGTAACCGAGGAAGTTCAGTATTTTAGGTCTAAAATAGTGATTATCGTGTAGTGTTAACACTATATAAATATAATTCAAAAACAGATCTACCTAATTGGTAAATTTTAAATTTTATTTTACATAAAGTTTCACGCTTTATGTCGCTAATAAGTCCTCTAACAAAATGTTTTCAAATTCTCTTGGAAGTAAACTAAATGTTTAGAGAATTTAATTCTAGGAATATTTGTCCGAATAGACAAGTTGAAATAAGTTAATGCTAATTACCATTTCACTCCTATTTTGAAGCAAAAAAGTATCTACATCAAAACTGGACGTTATCTTCTCTGAAGCTGAGAATATTTTTTAATGGCTTATCCTACTTTAAGCTTTAAAATTTTCTTGTCCGATCTCTTCTTGGACAAGGGCATCAATAAGTCAACAATACTATCTTCCACGTTTTTTAAATGACAACTGAATGTTTTTAAAATTAAAATTAATGGAATAAAATAATTTATTACTGAAATACTGGCTCTATGTTCAAGGGCTTGAAACACAATATCCCGGTGATCTTCTACAGAGGGCTTTTCAGGCCGAGGTGGAATTTTCTTTAGAGTTTGTCCTCTAGTTATGGACTGTAATAGAGTCTGTCGGTCTCCTCCCCCTCCCCCACCTCCTCTGTCTCTCCCTCTGCCTCTTCTTATCATTGATTGTGGTGGTGGAGATCTCAGAGATTGAGGCGGTATACTAGATACACTTACAGATGGTGGAAACCGAGGTATTATATTCTTAGTGGGTGGTGGTGGTGGTGGTGTTTTTTCCTGAAATTTTCATTTTGTTTATTCATAGTTATTAAAGCAAAAATCGTTTGTTGTCCTATCTATGTTAATTTAGCAAACTTCAATCTCCACTCAGTGAGGATGTTTTTATATTAATAAAATAGGCTTTTAAAGTATTTGGAAAATATTTGAAGACTTTTTCCCCAAGTTTACTCATGTTAATTCGTTTTGCCCATCCTACCCTTTGGAATATTTTGAAAAAAAATCAATTTCTGTAAGTCATCTTCTATGAAGCTGTTGTCCTTTGAGAATATTTCATATAACGACCCATCATTTTTTAAACTTTTTCTTGATCAACTCTCATTGAAAGAGAGCATCAATAAGCCAACAATACTCTATTTCTTATTTGAGTATTAAGTGATTCTGGAGAGACAAAATGAAAATGTGAAAACATTTCCATGACATACACTGACAATGGTTATATTTTGATCAAAAAGGCTCAAAATACAAGAGGCCCGTAGGCCACATCGCTCACCTGAGCACATTGGCTAGGCAAAAGCACAAATCAGTTCAGTATTGAAAAGTTTACGGGGGGGGTTGGATTGAATTTTAAACTACCTGATGATGCTTCCATGTCAATAAAACAAATGGCTTAGTTGTACTTGAGATAATTTTTAACAAGTTGTGTTTGTGAAACACTGATGCCCCCGTATGGCAGCTTATGGCGAAGGTTATTGTTTCTTCAAATGCAAGTCAAAATCCAGGCCAAAAGATAAAAAATGTTGATACCCAAAGAAAGGTCTTGTCTCGAGGAATACACCTGTGAAATTTGAAAGACCTAGATACAACTGTTCAGAAGTTATGGCGAAGGTTAAAGTTTTTTAAATAAAAGTCAAACGTCAAGGTCAAGGTCAAAGTGGTTGGTATCCAAAGGAAGATCTTGTCACAAGGATTACATATGTGAAGTATGAAAGCCCTAGCACCAACAATTCAAAAGTTATGGCCAAGGTTAAAGTTTTTCAAAAGT